ATCATACAAGACACTGAAATCGGGCCCAAATGGCCCCTCAAATCCTCAATTAAAGGACTCTTAAACTCAAGCCCTAGTTACCCCTTTTTCCCAACTTTCTCACCATTAATTAGGTCTTTAATCATATAAAAACGAGTTATGAAGTCAAGGGCATTACCTCCAAGTGATTTCCCTTTGATTTCCTCAAAAACCCTCTCAAAAGCTTCAAACCCGGATGAAAATGGTGGAAGAATAGCCAATTTTCGCAAAGGCAACTATTTATATGTTCTGCCCAGCTACTTCTGCATTTGCGGTCCCGCTTCTGCGGAACAAGTATCGCATTTGCGACTTTTCCTTAAGTGACCAGCTTCCGCATCTGCAGACATCCAACCGCTCATGCGGTTTCGCTTCTGCGGGCCTCACACCGCATCTGCCGCTTTCTGAAGGAATGACCCCAAGCCGCTTCTGCGGCCCTTTAGCCGCATCTGCGGCGCCGCCCAAGCCGCGGATGCGAAAATACCAGAAGCAGCAATACTACAGCTGCTGCAACACTTCTTCAACCTTCCCGTCAACCATCCGAAATTATCCCGAGGCCCCCGGGACCTCAACCAAAAGCACCAATAACACCTAATACCTCATTCAAACTTGTAACAATCATTAAACCACCTAAAACAACATCGGAAACTCGATTTAATCAAGGATTTAAGCCTAAGAACTCCAAATTTCCTCAAAATATACTTTCGATCAAAAACCTAACCAAACCACGTCCGAATGACCTAAAATTTTATGCACACATCCCAAATGATATGACGGAACTACTGCAACTCCCGGAATTCTATTCGGACCCTCGGATCAAGATCTTACTATCGGACCGGGAACTTCAAAAATTCAAACTTCGGCATTTCAAGCCTAAATTAGCTACGGACCTCCAAAACACTACCCGAACACGCTTCTAACCCCAAAATCACCCAACGGAGCTAACAGAACCATCGGATTTCCATTCCGAAGCCGTCTTCACACTGTTCCGACTACGGTCAATTTTCGAACACTTAATCTCTCTTTTAGGGACTAAGTGTCCCAAAACTCTCTGAAACTCAAAACCGAACATCCCGGCAAATCAAAATAGCAGAAATAAACTTGGGGAAATAGTTAATAGGGGATCAGGGCGTAAATTCCAAAAACGACCGGCCGGGTAGTTACATCCTCCCACATTTAAACATTCGTTCGTCCTCGAACGAGCACAAAGACATACCTGATGTAGTGAAAAGATGAGGGTACTGGCTGCGCATATCCTGCTCGGTCTCCCAGGTCGCCTCCTCGACCGGCTGGCCCCGCAACTGAACCTTTACTGATGCAATGTTCTTTGACCTCAACTTTCTGACCTGCCTGTCCAGTATAGCCACTGGCTCCTCAACATAAGATAGATCCTTGTCCAGCTGAACGGAACTGAAATCCAACACGTGCGACGGATCACCATGATATCTCCGAAGCATCGAAACATGAAATACCGGATGAACCCCTGCCAGGCTGGAAGGTAAGGAAAGCTCATAAGCAACCTCCCCAACTCGCCTCAATATCTCAAAAGGGCCAATAAACCTCGGACTCAACTTCCCTTTCTTCCCAAACCTCATAACGCCTTTCATAGGCAAAACCCGAAGCAGGACCAACTCTCCAACTATATAGGAAACATCTCGAACCTTCCGGTTCGCATAGCTCTTCTGTCTGTACTGGGCTGTACGGATCCTATCCTGAATCACTTTAACCTTTTCTAAAGCATCCTGAACCAAATATGTGCCCAATAACCTAGCCTCACCCGGCTCGAACCAACCCACCGGAGATCTACACCGCCTACCATACAAGGCCTCATACGGTGCCATCTGAATGCTGGACTGATAACTGTTGTTGTAAGCAAACTCCGCCAATGGCAAGAACTGATCCCAAGAACCCCCAACTCCATCACACACGCATGGAGCATATCCTCAAGAATCTGAATAGTGCGCCCGGACTGTCCGTCCGTCTGAGGGTGAAATGCCGTGCTCAACTCCACCCGAGTACCCAACTCCTGCTGTACGGCTCTCTAGAATCGCGATGTGAACTGAGTACCTCTGTCTGAAATAATGGAAACTAGAATACCATGCAGACGGACAATCTCCCGGATATAAATCTCCGCCAACCGCTCCGAGGAATAGGTAGTACACACAGGGATGAAATGCGCGGACTTGGTCAGCCAATCCACAATAACCCAAATGGCATCGAACTTCCTCAAAGTCCGTGGGAGTCCAGATACGAAGTCCATGGTGATCCGCTCCCACTTCCACTCCGGAATCTCTATCTGCTGA